TGTCTTTCTGCCATCCAGAAATCCATTAACTATGGATCATCGAAAGAAAAGACTTCTAGGGAATGGGAAGGTGAAATGCTCAAGGAAATTCGAAGGAAAAAATATCAGATGGTTCACCATTTTTTTTCAGAATCATGGGACAACATCCACAGCCTGTCCTTGTAAAAGTGCCACACATTGCTCAAAGTACTAAGTAACCTTACATTTAAAAGCCCACAGGTTGAATTTGAGGTAGGGAGAAGAGAAAAAGACTTCACTGTAAAGATGAGGAGAAAAGGATCACTGCTCAGAGTGGCCTAGACTGGCCCACTCATTGTTAGGGTGATCACCATGACTATGAGCTACTTACTGAGTGTTTGCTAAGTGGTTGTAATTCAACACCTGACCAAAATGTGCTCATCAACAAAATCCTTAAAATGCCCTTTCTACTTTTTCTTTAGCTTTAGATATTTACCAAGACTTGGAGAACTTCTGGAGAGATCAAAATTTTTCATTTTGGTATTGTTTGTTTTTAAAAAACCATAACTGACTAACCACATAACTTGTATATCTCCATTCATCAGCTATTTACTGAGCTGATACTTTGTGCCAGGCATGTATGCTGTACTGGGAACACAACCATGAATAACATTCCTGGTGCTAACTTTCTAGTGTAAGTTTCTTGCAGTTGCTGCAACAAATTACCACAAACTAGGTGGCTTAAAACAATAGAAATGAATTCTCTCACCATTCTGGAGGCCAGAAGTCCACAGTCAAAGTGTCCCAGTGCAGCATTCCTTCTGGAGACTGTAGAGAAGAAGCCAGTCTTTTGTCTCTTTCTAGCTTCTAATAGCTGTCAGTGTTCCTCATCTGGAGATGCATCACTCCAACCTCTGCTCCCATGAGGACATTGCCTTCTTCCCTTCCACCTGTGTTGACTCCCTCTGCCTCTTTCTTACATGGACACTTGTGATGGCACTTAGTGTCCTGTCAAGCTAATCTGGAACAACCTCATCATAATATCGTTAAGATAGTCACATCTACCACCATGTAAGGTAATATTCACTTTTTTGGTCATATATGATAATGGTTACAGGTTCCCTGGATTAGAGTATGAACATATCTTTTGAGGGCCACCATCTAACCATGACAACAGGAAATACATACAAAAATAAATTCAGGCCATCACAAAAATGATGCAAAAAAAAAGCAGGGAGAAAGGGTAAGAGAGTAACAGGCAACACTATTTTCATTAAAGGGGAAGGGAAGGGCCTTTTTAATGAGGTGGCATTATGGCAAAGACCTAGCTGACGTAGATGAAGTAGATAAGAGAAAATTTTTTTCTAGGAGAGGGATAAATCTGAGTTTTACCCACATGACCAGAAAAACAAGTCATAGTCAACTGAGAATTGGAAAATGAGGTACAAGCAGGTTTGGGAATCAAGAATTCCATTTTGAAATTTCAAATGCCTTTTAGACATCTAAGTGAAGTTGTTCTATAGTGAAAAACATATACCTGGGTGTCATTGGTGAATACCGGGTATTCAAAAACACCAACAAGTAGGTGTTAGAGAAGGCGAAAACAACCTATAGCACTCCAACATCAAGCTATCAGATGTTTAGCTGGTGGAGTGGCTCAAGTGGTAGACCCTGCCTAGCAAGTATGAGGCCCTGTGTTCAAACCCCAATACTGCCAAAAAAGGAGAAAAAAAAAGAAGAAATTGGAAATGTGGAGAGAGCCATTGACAAACTAAAATTCTACAATTATGCTGGCCTGGAATGTGATCCAAGAAGGGAGTAATCACCTGTGTCCAAATTTGCCAATGGATCCAATAAGATGAAGACTGAGGGAACCACTGAATATAACAGTGGGATCATCATTAGCAGGAGTGGGGGAATCCTCAATAAGAGCAGTTTTGGCAGAGTTGTGGGCACAAGATCCACTTACAATGACTAAAGGTAGTAAGAAAAAGGACCTATAATAACTGATTTGGACAATTATTGCAATGAGTCTAGCTGTTAATGGTATTTTTTTAAAAGATTGTGCATATTATGACATATCATGCTGAGGAAATGTTCCTATGAAGAGGCAAAATTAATAAATGCCCATGAGGGTATGAGTGCAAGAGGGGAGTTGGCGAGTAAGTGAGCAGGGACAGAGCTGAGTAGCTAACCAGTCTTGGGTAGGAAGGGAACTCAGAATATATGGCTACAGACACAGGGTTAGTGGATCTGCTAGGGAGATCCATCTTCTGATGGCTTTCCTTCTCCCTGTGACATCAGAAGCAAAGTCATTGGCTGAGAATGAGGAAGGTAGGAAAAAAATAAAGTTTGAGAAGGTGTAGAGCAACCTTCAGAGACTGAATTGTCAAAGACAGTAGTGAACTGTTACTGAATTTTCTAGAACAGCACAATCCCACAGAAATATAATGCAAGTCACCTAAGGAATTTTAAGTAGTCATATTGAAGGTAAAAAGAAACAGGTACAATTAATTTTTTTTTTTTTTTTTTTGCGATACTGGGGCTTGAACTCAGGGCCTACACCTTAAGCCACTCCACCAGCCCTTTTTTTATGTTAGGTATTTTCGAGATAGGGTCTCGCGGAATTAATTGCCTCAGGCTGGCTTCAAACCACAATCTTCCTGATTTCTGCCTCCTGAGTAGCTAGGATTACAGGTGTGAGCCACCGGTACCCAGCTTAATTTTAATAGCATATTTTATTTAACCCAACCTATTCAAAATATTATAATTTTAGCATGTAATCAGTATTAAAAATATTGAGGTGTTTTAAGTTCTTTTGTCATGTTAATACTAAATTTGCAGGAAAAAAGTGTACATCTTATATGTTCAGCAAAAGCCAAATTTCAAGTGCTTAGGAGCCACTTAAAATTAAGAGCCACGTGGCCAGTGGCAACACTGGGTGTTGCAGGGTTAGGAAGTAAAGTAGGGCTAATAGAAAAGAACACTAAGCGCCCTGGAAAAAGAGCAAAGGAAACTGGTAGCATGTGCAAACAACTTGTTATGCAGTGACCATTAGGATGTAACACTCCGAAGTTAGAAAGAAGTGGGGAGATGTAGAAAGACAGTAGGAGTGTTCTAGTAGGATCAAAGAATTTTCAGAACTGTTGCTGCTAGCATATAAAAAGATCCAGGAGAATTTCTGTCCTCACATAAAGATCATGTCATGCAGATGTGCCGGTATCCATTCTATTAAGGTGGCATTGATAAATGCCATAGTAGAACAAAACATGCTCTGTGCAGGTTAAGACAAACCAGGATGATCCCGAGGGCTCATCAAGGGGGTGGAAGGCAAATCAGGTCTTGAAGAATGAGCAGAATTTTAATCATCTATGGGAACCATTGTATAAAGTGAAGGAAAAAAGTACAAGCACAGATAGAAAAACAAAACTCTTCAACATTTCTTGGGATAAGGGTAAAAAAAAATTTCATATTCATTGAAACAACTATTAATTGTAATGTGGTAGATTGCTTCTAAATAACGATGGGTCTTTAAAGAAGAGTTCTGGGATAATTTCCCTGTGGGAGAAAAAAGTCCTCATCACAAAATAATTTATTCCCCAGAATGCAATGTTTCCTAAAAGTGGGAAATGTAAGTGCCAAAGATTATTTCCCAGAAATCAATGCCTTCTTTCCTGCCCCCAAAACTGATACATGCAAAGCTTTCTCTTTCCTTTAGAATTCCATCTCATATACATTCTCTTCTCTGGAAATGGTCCATTACATCAAAAGAAAAGCAATATGTTTACCTTTCATCCTCAGATTCTGGGAAAAAACATTTGGAATCAGCTAGGATCACAATATGTGGGATTAAAAAGTCTTTGATTACTACTAGCACTTTTTTTTAGATAGGAGAGGTGGCCCCACTCCACAAATCCAGTTTGTAATTCTGTTAGAAAACAAACTGTGGAGTCTTTTGCTCCTATTTCCTGTGGGGGGAACAAGAAATGTTTCTCTCTCTTTTTCTCTCCCCCCGCCTTGTCTATATACTAAAAAAAATCCTTGCTAAAACTGCAAAAAAAAAAAAAAAGCTGTACATATACACAATAATCTCCTAAATACGCTGCTGTTTCTATTATAAACTTTTAAGGGAGAAGCAGCATTACACTTTATTTTGGTTCTCAAACCAGTCATCACTGAACAACAGGAAACAGTTTTCCCTAAATATGTGAAGATCATTGTTGCAAAAAATAAAATCACCTTATTTTTTCCCAGCTCTAAATGTCTAAATGTTCAGGGAAACCTGCCAGAATACCCACTTCCTCCTTTTTTTCACAAGACTTTGCTACTGCAGTCAGAATATTTAGAAACAGTAAGAAGAGCTAGACAATTCTACATGAGACTTTAATAATACTGTACTTTGAATTTACATACCATATAGCCTTGGCACATCATAGCTCATTATCATTTTAAATTTACAAATCAGAATAGGAAAGCACAAGGTTTAGAAGCAACACATCCTGCCCAGCAGTTTGGAACTCATAATTTCTGAAACACGTGATCCTGCAACTAAAGATAATCTCATAGCCGAGAGTGAAGAGCCCAGCGAGTAGAAAATGTTAATAAGGTCCCATTTATTCAAATGATGTTTAAGAACCATGGGGCTTTAATCGTATAAATAACCATATTAAACTTTATAGTCTACATTAATATGAATATAGATTAAGGTATCATTCCACCAAAACTAATAACATGAAGTATATACATATATAATCAAATCAATGTCACAAAATGAAATATATTTCAATCAAAAAGTCAGCAAGTAGGTCAACATACTTAAAAAATGAGAACTACAGCTTTAAATTTTTTTTTTTTTTTTTTTTCCCACTAACATGCTGTAATTACGGAGGCTACAGTTGCCACTGGTGGGTCTGCTACATGTGCTATCAAGTCTCCTTGTCGAGAATGAAAACATCCATTGTCTGTTGATTCAATCAGGAAGGTATGGTATGCAGTTCTCTTAACAGTGCCAACTGTGGCTTTACTCCCAATGTCTTTCACACTCATGTGTCTGGGAGATTCTGTAAAATCTGTCTCAAAGACGCACAGGCCACCACGTGGGCATCTGAAGGAAGATTAGCGAGTGACTGAATCAGCTTCTTAACTATGGTCTTCAAACACTGGTGAGCAGCATTCAAGTCTCTGTCAAACTGCTGTCCTTCGATTTGTAGAGCCAAATGACTGCAGATGTTTCTAAACTCAACACTATCCTGAAAGGAATTGCAAACAGACAGGAAATCAGATAAGTGACTGGAACATTTGCTGTGTTTTGCTTACCTGGATTCCAGATTTTTCTCAGAGAACCACTCCCCTTCATCCTCAGCCCACTTGGTTTGACCAAAGCTGACCCCACCCACACCTTCAGGAATCAGGCCCATCAGAGCATATCATCACCCAGTGGTTGGTCAAGAATGGACAGGTGATGGAAACCATGGGCCACAGCCCACATCTGCAAGTCTGGGAAAGAGAAGCCTTCCTTAGCTTGGGCTTTTGGGAAAACATTTTGCCACCAGGACAGAATGCTAATGATGATGGAGCCAGCACAGAAAAAAAATAGAAGCAAGAGATTAAGAGACAGATGCTAATTACCTTTCCTGAGCATGTAAATCTAGCTATACTTGAACGATAGACCCCAGGATTTTTTAGTTGCGTTAATATCCTTTTTTAAAAAATTAAGCCAATTGAAGTTGAGTTTCTGTTACTTGTTTCTAAAAGAACTTCCATAAATACACAAATAGCCTTTGTTCCTAATATTTCATATGTGCTGCTTTGAAGATTCCAATACAAAACTCATTACTTAATGGACATGGTCTCAAGAAATTTCCAATGCAAATTTAGAAAGAATAGCTCCCAGGTAGTTTAAAGGAGTGAAATCATTCAATAGATTTTAAATCCTCAAATCCATTGCAAATAAATAGTATACTGAAATTCTTCCACGTTAGAGAAAATGTTGAATATATGGTTGCTTTTAAATACAGGAAAATTATTTTCTCCAGCCTTCTGCTTCTGGCAACACAACACAATTAGTTTCCTTAGGAGCTCAAGTGGTAGAGCGCCTGCCTAGCAAGTGTAAGGCCTTTAATCCAAACCCCAGGACTGCCCAAACAAAAACAAAAACAGAACCTTGCTACCAGATTCTTAGAATTCTAAAATAGAATAAACATCCTGCCTGAGATTGCAAAAAAAAAAAAAAGAGAGAGAAATGCCCCAAGGTCCAGAATAAAGGAAAGATTATTTTCGCTGCCTACTAGTACCATCAAGAGAAGAAAGTCTCTCTTGTGCTGGGTTTGGAGTGGAAGTTAGAGCTGTCCCTGAGAATGTGTTACTGTGGATCTATAGTACACAGTAGTTTCAGTTTGGAGTCACCCTCTAGACCATTCTCATATTCCTCTGGGAACACCCATGCTAACAAATTAATGTAAAACTTGGAACTGGGCTGAAATATGCCATATGGTCACATGGCAAAAGCAAATAAAAACCTATTCCTGGGGAATAGGTCTGAAACCCATGTCCCAAACATAGTATTCCCATAAAGTTCTGTCAAAGATGAAGTCAAAGCCGGGTGCTGGTGGCTCACGCCTGTAATACTAGCTAGTTAGGAGGCAGAGAACAAGAAGATTGTGGTTCAAAGTCAGCCCCAGGCAAATAGTTCACTAGACCTTATCTTTAAAAAACCCATCATAAAAGGGCTGGTGAAGTGGCTCAAGGTGTAGGCCGTGAGTTCAAGCTCCAGTACTGCAAAAAAGAAGTCAGAAATATGAAATTTAAAATATACTCAAACACGAGATGGCAAGATTAAATTTCAAGAACTTGTGATAACGACTATAAAAATGTTTAAAATGATGACGATACAAAGAAGTAATAAAAAAGTAAGGAAAAACAGCTTATAAAAGAAAATCAAATACCACTTTTAGAAATCAGAACTACAGCAACCAGTTTAAAGCTTAACATGCAATTTAATCACTTGATTAGCTATATCTGAAGTAAAAATTAGTACACTGGATGATAAATATGAGAAAATTATACAGAATGCAAGACAAAAAGTTAAAGGCATGAGGAATATGAATGAGAGGTTAAGCAACATGCACGACAGGATGATAAGGTTTAATAAACATATTTCCAGGAGAGACAGGAGAGAGAAGGGGCAGAGGAGATGTTTAAAGAGAATAATGGATGACAATTACACAGAATTGATCCAAAGCACGAATCCTTAGAGTCAAGCAGTAAAACAAGCCTAGTGCAGAGTAAGTTAAATGAGATCTAAGTCTAAACTCATTGAAGCAAAGTTCTTTTTAAAAGCAACCAGGAAAAAGATGGGTTCCAAGAAATGACAAGACAGAGGAGCCGACTTCAACAACTGAAGATACAAGATATTTTAGACTAGTTGTCAACCTAGTTTTTTTAAACCTACCAAATTAACATTTAAAACTCTAAGCAAAATAAATACAACCTCACTTAACAGGACAGAAAGAGCTTACTATCAATGTTAAGTCTTTCTAAAGATAATTCAAAAGAAGACATTCAATTTAGAAGGAAAGCATGAGATGCAAACAGAATGAGCAATAAACCTGAAAACATGGTATAAATCTTAAAAATTTATTAACTAACTTGCAGCATAGAAAAGCAAAATGGTTCTAAAACGCAGACATGTAGTGGAGTGTGGAATTCTAAGCACTGTATTTTTTTTTTTAAGATAAAGACAACAGCTGGTGGAGTGGCTCAAGTGGTACAGAGCCTGCCTACCAAGCATGAGGTGCTGAGTTCAAACCCAGTGCCACAAAAAATTAAAAAAGCTGCAAAACTGATAAATTCTTCATACATGTATGAAGAATGTAAGGATTATCACTAAAAGTAGAGAAATAATACATAAAACTTTAAAACCAGCAGAGGGGAAAAAGGTACATTAAAATTCTTTTGATCTAATCTGTAGAAAGATAAAAATGGAGAAATAAAGCACACAAATAGAGCAAGGTAAGTAGAAAACAAATAGGATGGTAGAAATGCTTATCAGAAAGCACAATAAATGCAGATAGTGGTTACCAGACTAGGTTTTTCAGTTTTTAGTTGCTTGTTATTTCAAGCAACAGTTTTGAAGCTAAAAACATGCAAATAAATGGATATACTAAAATATATACCAAGCAAAGAGAAGCCAAAATAAAGCTGGAAAAAATTATTATTAGGGATGAAATAAACTGCAATTACTAAAAAGGATGATGTCCTCCCCCTAAAGATATGCGATTTTGTACTTGTATGTACCTAATAAGATAACTGTAATATGCATTCACACTGTAAAAATAAGAGCCCAATTTAACCCACTTTCTCCAAAACTGATAGGTCAATCAACAAAACAATCAGCATACATAGAAAAGACTGGAAACTCTAATCTCAAGTTTAAGCCAATGGAAACAAGAAAATATATATTATTTCCAAACATGGACGGAATATTTATTAAATCTATATTACAACATTGCAAAGAAATTCTCAATAAATGTCAGAAAGTCTGTATCTCACAAATCACAATGCTAGTTAACAAGAAGTCAATAACACATTTACCTTCTCAAAATAGGTACATCTTTAAAGCTCCACTTCTAAATAATTTATGGGACAGCAAAAAACAACTGAAAATTTAAAATATTCTATACTGAACAATAATGGAAATATTATGTCAAAATGTGTGGAATGTAGGGAAATGTGTAATTTAAATGCTTATATAAGGAAGGAATAATCACTGAAAATCCATTAGCTAAAACTGAAACTCAATCATTTAGGAAAAGTAAAACAGATAATCCCAAAGAAAGTGAAAGGAAGAATTAGAAGTTGAACCAAAATTTGGTCAGGGGTAGAGCTTTCTTCCTAATTTTGTACAGAAGGCTATTTTTCCCCCTATGCAAAACCTTGTCACCTGAATGAGGACTTGGGTTTCCCACCACGTGCTTATTTGACATCTCCCCAAGAAACAAAGCAAAACAAACGTTTAGCAAATAATAACAGCAGGGCAGTATGGGAGTCAGCTGCTGAGACAGAAGAACCTATAGTCCCTGAACTCTAGTATTCCTGGGCATGGTACTTATTTTTGCTTGTTTTTTTCTCTTTAAAGCATTCGTGCTTCTCTACCTCCAGGTGTCAAGAGACTCCTTACATAATCTCCCCCGTAGTTTATGGGGTAATCTGCATTGCTGGAATATATTTCTTGGGAATAGAAAATAGAGAGAAAATCACTCTGAACTATTTTTCTCCAAATTCACATACAGGGAAATTGTCTGCTTGGTTTATAGAAGGAATCCAACTCTGAGTACAAAGAGGAAGGATCAAAGAAAACATGCTAAGAGAAACTCAAAATAGAAGGCACTATTGAAACTTGTGCTGACGTGTGTGTTCGCCAGTCTGCAAAGGCATTCATCACCCAACGAAGTTTAAAATGCCTTTAAAAATATATTCGTGGGCCTAAAATCTGAAGTCAATTTCACGTTTACTGTAAAGAATCAAAGGAGGCGTCGTTTGGGGAAATTACACGTATAATAAAATTCAACTGCTGGGCTGTATGGCTCCCTGAGGCCCTGGGCAAACTTCAGATCTCTGGCAAGCTTTGCAAAGTCTATTTTACTATTCTAGTACAGAATTTCCTTTTAATCCTTTCTCAAATATATTAACAGTCAAAGAAAACAAATTAATAGGAATAGACTTTCCATGGGACTCTTAAGCCAAGGGAGGAAAAAATAAAGCAGGTGATTGCTTCTCTTCCTTTCTAGAAGGTCTGAAGGCCAACTGTGAATCCAATAATCATTATCTCCAACCAAACCTCTGCTGCTACTGTTGGGGAAGGTGGGGGTCACAAGTCACAAGGTCAAGGTAACAGTCTATTAAGTGGTCCATGTCTTTCAGTAGACACATAATCAATACTGGCGATGATTTTACTTACAACGCTTTCCAGTCAATGACAGAGCATCCTCCCTTTGACTGCTATTAGTAAGTCCCAGATGCTCCCAGAAATGATGTAATATCCTATATGGAGCTTTGAGCACTTTGCCAGAATTACAACTATGTGGTTGAGCAATCTAAAGCAGGTTTTGGAACTTCTAAAACCTTGTGTAATTTCAGACTCTGGATATGAAAGGTATTGATTGCTACAGTGATCCAAATTTATGGCTAGCATTTACTTTTTAAAGGGAATTAAAATTCTCTCCTAGAACTTGGTTAATCTACTGGGATA